ATGAAAACTGTAAACATGAAACTTGTAGCAAATTTTCTCACGATTCCAGAAATGTAAAGTATTAAAACTATAGATCAAAGATAAGCATGAATTTTAGTGGCCCTAATTTGAACCCTAAAAATTTCAGAAATTTCAGTTTCAAAATTCTCTAAGCTCAAGCAAAATTAATGGAAACTATGGACATTGTTAGCTTCAGGGCAACGATATCTACATGTTTTGTTCATAAATAAACTATTGATGATGCTTGTATGAAGAGTTTCAAGTTGAGAAAATTACCTCAAAACTGGAAATCGTGTTTTGAGTTTGAGCTTGTTTCAAGTGATGGTGATGATCATGTTAGCTTCCTTGAGGTCCTAGGAAGCTAATGCAATTGTTTGCTTGAGTTGAGAGTGGTTGGAATGACATGGAGAAGTCAATGTGCAATGCTCTGTTTTTGGTTATGGAGGATATGGTAAATGATGTTACAGTAATGAAATAGGTACAAGGATAGATTACACTTGATGTAAGGAAGCTTTAGAAACTAAAAGGCCAGGAAACGCACGAGGGAAATGTGAGTTTGATGTTCAAGGTCAGAAACTATGCAACAATGGAGTTTTTGGGCAATTTCTGATTTGAGAGAGTTTTGATGTATTTCAGGGTGTTTAAGCTCGTCCTTTAGCTCACAAATAGTGACTCTACTTATAAGAAACAAGTTTGGAGACTTCTTGTTGATCAGAATTCAAAATCATAATTTTATGCATAACATGTGATTTTTGAGAAATTCAAGTTTCAAAGCTTTGTGTACTTGCTAAGATAGAGTAGTTATGCTTTAAACAAGCTTGCTTATGACTTTGTGGATGGAGTGTGATCAAAGGGAACAAGTTAGAGGCTCAAGAATGAACTTTATGCAAAAAGCTTGCTTTACAAGAATGGTAATGTTAACTTTTTGCCATTAATGGAAATGCAACTTGGATAATAGCTCAATTGCTTGGATCAAAGCCTTAACAGTTGTGTAAACATTTAATTATGGAGTGAAAAAAAGTTCCATCCCTGCAAAGCAAATATTATACAGCCTAGCATGGATTTGGTTCATGTGTTCATCAAAAATGACTTGTAATTCAAGTGATAAAACCCTAATTCCATCTCTTCGATTCTCCCTACTCAAGAATGATCTCAAGGAGTTATTGGACATTTTGGAAAGCTTGAAATGTGATCTATAACCTATCTTTGAATTTATTTTGAATATTCCCCTTGGAACTATATAAAAAAGTGCCATGAAGTTGGGTCAAAATCCTGACCAAATTAGGGCAAATTTCACTAAGTGTTTAGTTTCATGACCACATGTTCATAAAATTATAACTTGAGATCCAAGCATTTTTGGAAGGAGTTGTGTAAAGAAAAGTTGTAGATTTCATGGTGATCTACAAGTTTCATGTTGGAAGTTTTTCTTGAATCATCTTGCATCATGGTGAAAATTTTGCTCAAAGTTATGAAAAAACATGAAACTTCCAACACTTAGAAAATTTTCTAAGTTTAGAAATTTCGACTTTTCAAAATGAAATCTTGACTTTTTGATTTCTTGATGAATAAGTTTCATAGTTTGACATGTTTTTATAAATTATGATCTTTGACACTTAAATTTGACCAAAAAGTCAAAGTTTGACTTTTTAGTATACAGTTGACTTTTGATTAGTTGATTGAAAAATTCATCTGTCAATCTAATGGAATTTCAATGTTTTGAACCATGTCATTAGGTCAAGATGATACAATTGAACTCTTGAGATCATTCCTTAAACCAATTGACCATTTGCTAGGTCAAAAATCAGAAACTGCCATTTCCCAATCAAAACCCTAATTTTGACCATTTTGCCCTTTTGGAGATTTGATCAAATTTCTTGAGGAGTTGTGGTCCAAATTTGATAAAATGATACATATGAGTTTAAAATGTTGATGTGGATAAAAAATTATGAAGTTTGATTGTAAATTGGCCATAGTTGACTTTTTTCCCAATACAACTGGTTTTTAGGTCAACTGGTCAATTGACTGAGCAAAAATGTGATCCAAGGCTTGAAACTTGACATGAGTGATCTTGGGGGTCCATAATGATCTATGAAAATAATATGGGTCATTTTAGGTTCAAAAATCTTTGTGCAAACTCAAACCCTAGTTTTGGGTCATCAGTGCATAAGGAGGTGTCTTGAGCTGATCAAACCTTAGTGCAGTCTTGAGCCCAAGGAGATCTTGTGAGCAAAAATTCTTGATAAGTAGGAGGGAAAATTTTGGGGTACAACACTTTTCCTTTAAAAAAAGTTGGTATTGATTCTATGTTTTTTCTACCTTCATCTTTGATTTGGTAGTTCATCATCATTCGTAGTCGACATTTATATCGTCCTCCTCAGTGGACCTTACTCCGATTGAGTTGAGTTTTTTCGAGCCATAAGTGCTGAAGCCAAATCTTTAATTACCAGGAATAAGTATTGATACCAATAATTCATTTACTAGTCTTGATGTTGATGTTTATCGTCATCTCTGAGTCGGTATCATCTTTACCGTTTCTATTCGCGCCCTTCTGTTTAGCAGTTGTCGATCCCATGTGTTGATGTTACTCTCTTTTTGCTATCTCCTTTATGAGTGGATAGTTTACAGTTATCGGTTAATCATCGTTATTCTCATTTTGTTGAGTTGATGTTATTTTGTCCCTTCTCTGTGCTTCACCCCCTTAAATTTGAGTCTTCTTTTCCCTAGTGGAGTCGATTTGTCTCCAATGGACTCAAATTCCTATCCCCAGAGTTGTGTTGTTCCCCAAAGATTTACATTCCTGGTCAAACTCTTTTCCTTAGTCTGTTGATTTTATTTTTGCTTCTCCAGTGTGTCTTGTTCACCTGCAGGAAGTTTATATTTTACATCCATAATCATAAGCATCACATGGCATCTTAGGGCCAAAAATAGGGTTTGTTTTATATTTAAGTATATGTAGTTGCGTCGAGACAAAGATTTTAACCTCGTATCTCTGGATAGAAGACACTTAAATAAGGGCAGCTGTTATACCCCAATTATCCCCCTAGACCCCACATCACATCATATATATCTCATGCATATCATCGATTCCATGGCTACGAGATAAAAAAAAAGGCTCTCATCATATCATCGATTCCATTGCTACTTTACTCAAAGTTAATTCAACTGGTGCTCTCATCATTCTTTGTATGAAACTAGGGTTTTGGATCACATGCATCATAGACGTCTTCAATGGCATGGTGCCTCGAGATATAAGGTTGTCTTCATCAGAATTTCTTCAAGGAACAAAGGCATTAAGGTTTAACTCAGCCAAAGAATTAGGGTTTCTCGTGTGTTATGCTTGAGCTTGGTATTAGATCATCAACGGAGGTTCATCATGCTAGGTTTTGTCTTCAAGGCTATAAGGGTCATTATTGGATCCTTATTGTGATTTCATCAACGTCATTTAGGATTCCTCTTTATTATTTACACAAGTCAACCCTTCTCAAGAGACTTAAAATATTGAATAACGATCTTCCTTCTATTATGATACTGCTCAAGTGATTAAGTATGGCCTTGGATTTTCAGCACAATATTTGTTGACTAAAGAGAAAATATATGGCGTGGTAGGAGTTTGGGAATTCGTTGTAATCAAGGCCTTGTTATCTCTTCAACTTCTTGATTATTTTCCAGTTGACTTGAATTTAAAGAGTGAAGTAGAGAATGGATTCATTATTATGAAATGTTTCTTTCAAGATCGATTCAAGAAAATTCATGATGATGGCTTGTATTGAATTTGAGGTCGTTAATTCAAACGCATTTCGATTTTTCCAATAATTGATTCAAAAGAGTTTAGGCTCACTCATGGGATTTGTTTGGAACTCAAGACTCATCAATCCAGTGCAAGAATCTCAAAGTCTAAATGATTCAGGCGTTCATGTTTCTTGGAGTTAAACTTCTAACAAGATTGTTCAAGATTTATTTGTACTTCAAAAGGAAATTCAAGATTGTCTAGAGTTCATATTCAGAGTTTCAAATTCATATTCACAAGTCAACATTTGATCAAGAGCTTGTAATATCCGTATGATGTTCATCAAGAATCACGCAAGTTAAATTTCAAGTTTACAATCTAAAGTGTATATCAAGTATTCAATTCATTACATATGAGTTCCCATTACAACAATATTCTCTACTAAGGCTGGACAGATTATTCCGAAACCGGTCCAATCCGACCTACCCAAGGGACCCGTTAGTAAGCGGTTCGGGTTAAACGGGTTATCGGATAATCGGTTTTGCAAGAAATGGATGCATATGGATTGTACCGGTCGGTTTCGGATAATTTGTTTGGGTCCATCGAAATCCAAACCGACCGGCCTAGGTTACAGATTTTCATTTCATTTACATTTCTATTCGTTTCACTTTCAGTTTCACAGTCTCTCTATGTGCTAGGGTTTCACCTTGCTTCTTCTTCTACCACCACCATGCCACCACGCCGGCCACCACGAACCACCAGCGTTCAAGTAAGTTCTTCATCGTTCTCTTTCTCCTTCACTCTCTTTCTCTCTTTCTCTATCTACCTCTCTATGCTTGTCTCTAACTTAGCATTTCTGTTACCTCTGTATCAAACTCTTAACTTTGAACGGGAACTCTTAACTCTGTTTGTCTCTACCTTAACATCTCTTAACTTTGAACGGGAACTCTTAACTCTGTTTGTCTCTACCTTAACATTTTCAAATAAAATTAGGGTTTGAAGTATTATGTTTGATGTTTGAATCAGTTTGATTTAGGTACTTATTTTTTAGTTGGAAGCAGTTGGTTGCTTGTATTGATTATTATTGCTTTTATCATACTTGTTTGACTAGTTTCACAGATTAGGCATGTTGCTTGAGTATGGTAGATCTTTTCTCCCTTTGAGAAAATCCAGTAGTTGCATTGATCTATGTAGTATCCTGATGCATGGTCTTGTCTTGCAGGTATTGTCAACCTTTGGACATGTATAAGTAGTATCTGACTGTTGAAACGAGATGCAATGCATGTGGGCGAGAAGTAGAAGGGTGGGTCATTGCCACAACATGTGGTCACCTGCTATGAATCCATTTTTGCCAGCAATTTGTCCTTGAATTACTTTATAATTAAATAAAATCATATAGTTCATATCAAATTAGGTTGATATTCCCTTTTATTAAGAACTCATGATTGAATTATTCATAATTTGAAGGGAGAACCGTGGAATTTTACTTCAGCTATGGGAATTTTACTTTACTTGTCTTCTTATTCTATTTTTTGCAGGCCTTTAGTATCATGGATTTTCTAGGACAAAATCGGCGTTTCTATCCAGGTCTCCCACTGTACAATAGTATTTTAAGCTCCTGCACAAAAATCCAGAATTTAATTCAAGCTAGAAAATGTTTGGACTTGATGGAAAAGAAAATGATAGGAAAGAGTGAAGTTACGTATACCGCACTTATCAAGGTGTGCATATAAAAAGTACTATTACTTTTCAATATCCTTATTTTTATACCTAGACAATTTAATGTTTAATAGATTAGGGTCTTTATGTTTTTCATTTTTTTGTTTCTATTTTCTGTTGCAGTTTTAATTACAAAAACTCAAAAAAGTGAGAACACTTAAAATTAGTTTGCTTTGTTTTCTGAGCTAAACTTTGAAAACAATAAAAAAATTCTAAAACCCACAGATCCTTATGAAGTCTCTGAAAGAACTTTCATGCTTATGAATATGTGATTCAATGTGAAATTTCTAAGCACTTGATCTGCACCAAGATGCGTGTTCTTATGAATGCTAGTTTCAGAATATGCTATTTGCTCCTTTGGTCTAGAAGCCAATTTTCATTACCATTAAGTTTATTATATAAAATGATTATCTATTTATAGGATGGGAAATCATCACTGTTACATTCTTTGACTGGACTGTCCATTAGTTTTTCTGCATTGCTCCTGAGTCTTTAATTGAGAGGAAGAAGGAAATGGAACTATGTATTGCCAACTTTTATATTTGCTATCTCATTTTTTTCTTCTTATTCCAACAATCCATATGTCCACTTGTAGTGAATTAAGACAAGAAATCAGAAAATGTGACTATGTATTGCCAATTTTTATGACTCTTAAATGGTACGGAATCAAGTAATAACACAACATGATTAATTTATTGCATTAGCTCTTTTTGTGATAATGTGTTTCTATGCTTGAATATTGTCTTTCTTTAATGCTTTTTATGTGACTAGTATCATTTGTCTCACCCTGTTTCTCAGCTTGCAGTTTTGCAGAAAAACTTGCCTGCAGTCCATATAATTTGGCGGGAGTATATCAAGCTTTATAGTATGAGTATCATTGCTCTGCGTAAATTTATTTGGTCATTTACAAGGTTGGGAGATCTAAAATCTGCGAATAGAACACTACAACAGTTGGTGGCATTAGCCACAAGGGAAAACATTTCTATTGCTAGAACAGTTTATGGGAAGTTGTATTCTACTAGATTGGACATTCCTGTTCCTGCAAATGACGGGCTAGGATCAACCATATTGGACCTGTGGAAGAGCAGACAACATAGCTCTTGTATACTCTCTCCTAGTTTGCATTTACTAGACACTATTTCTGCAAGTAAGGAGCATAAATTTATCTGTATGGATGATAAAAAAGCCAAGAATACTGATGTAAATGGGCTGAATGGACAAAAGCACTCACTGCTTATGAAGGTTCTTAGGTGGTCTTTTAATGATATAATACATGGGTGTGCAAAAGAAAAAAACTATATGCTTGCTTGGAAGCTTATGTTACAGGTAGACATCCGACTAAGCTGTTAAATGTTATTTGTTGTACTCTATGTTATACTGGATCTGCATAATTGATGGTTTGCTTTTCCGAGTATTGTAATCAAGAGAGATTTCTCTGCATCTACACTGTTATTATATCACAATTCAAATGTTCAGAAATCAGGCTCTGTTGAAATATATTGATAGAATGTGTTGATAGAATGTGTTGTAAGCTACTTGCTGCAGCAAATACCAGGCTTTGTTGAAATTTACAATTTGATCATAGTTTATTTGGAAGACAGTGTAAATTAGAATGTAAAATAGTGTTAAATTGGGTCATTTATTATTTTTATTATTGCTTTAAATTTATTATTTAATATTGTTTTAATTAAAAAAATTAAGATATAATTGAATTTTTTTATGACAATTTAATATTAATTAACCGAATAAACCGATCATTTTAACCGATAAACCGATTAAACCGAATCCGATCAAACCGATTACAACTTTGGTCGGAATTGGGCCTAATATTTGAATCCATGGTTTTGCATGGTTTGACATATTGAGTCCAAATCCAACCCAAACCGACCGATGTCCAGCCTTATTCTCTACCATTCATTGCTCTAACTAATTCTCAAATTCAAGGGGCCAAATTTGCTCACCTGTAATCAACCTTAACTGCTATATAGCAGAATTTTCTTCACAATATTTAGGGGGGAAGACGATTTGACTCTGAAAAAAATCACTGGAAAATTTCACTCTTCTCTCCCTGAAATCTCCGAACCTTGATCATCATATCATAACCTTCCTTCTTGAATCCTCTTCAACCTTCATTCACCATATCTCAAATCTTCAACGGTCTGTAATCATCAATCTCTTCCTACATCAATATCAGAGCATTTCAGCATCATCAATAATTGACATAGAGCTTCAATCATTCATCGCGAAATTCTACAACAACGATGACAATCAATTCAGAAATGAGAATGCAAAGAAGAAATTAATAAAGAAGAAGAGTGAATCTGATTGTTATCGTACCTGGAGCGAGAGTTATCCGGTGTTCTATCTTTGGTCGTTATTGTCGAAGACGCGCGGCACGTTCTCCCGTTGATAAGGCTTTGATCTTTTGCAACCTTGTTATGCCGAAGCTTGCACAAGAACCTCGAAGATGCAACGGAATCACGTTTCATCGAGGCTTTACCGCCGTTTGAATCTGACAAAAAAGCAGATGCGAGGTTCTAGTCGTAAGAAAAACGACAACTCAGGTACGAAAAACCCGAAAGAACAGAGAAGAAGACGGTTCAATGTTACTTGAAAACACGCATCTGGATTTCGTCCTTGCTTATTCTCCATAATCAAGAACCACCGGAGTTCACTTCCAGTAGGTAAGCTCTCGCATCTTTTCGCGATTACCTTTCTGTTTTCTCGCTCTCGTCATAGAGTGAGAGAGACGAAGCAAAGTCAGAGGTGAGTGAACGTGTCGATACGCGAAGAAGGCCAGAAGAAACGTCACGGCATCGGGGAAGTGAAGAAGATAGAAGAGTTATCCAGTTCCATTCACGAGGGATATTAATGGTCCAACTGTGAACCCTAACATGTATAAAATGCACCTCTCTATTCTTACTTCATGATTTCCTTTGTTTTTTTTAGCAATAAATGAAGTAAAAAAATTGAATGGGTAGTATTGTCGATCGTTTGGGACAAAACACCCCTGACCCTATAAGCCCAACGTCTTTTTTTGTCAGGTTTGATGGTTGGATAACAAAAAAAGGGGCTTTATTGGACTTGCTACATGGGCCTAGCGCCCTTACTCTATATTGCACCACTGGAATCTAATTTAGCAACCCCCTGGCTCTTTCTAATTTGTTTAGTTTTAGATTTTTTTTTAGTTTAATTTTTCTTTTTTTATAATAAAAATAAATATAGGATATATAAAAAAACAATAAAAAAATATGTAGAGTTTAGATATTTTTTTATGATAAAAAATTATGAAAATTAATAAAAATTAATTAGAATTTATTTTTTGTTTGATTGTTGGATTTAAACCATGGTGTGATACGGCGGCAGAACCGATTGTTAATACTGGTTTGCGTTTTGTATTCGCAAATGTTGCGGTAAGCAAGAGTTGCCATTGAATTTTATTTCATCTAGCAAAGGAAAAGGGAAAAGAACAGAAAAAACCTTTTTCGAGATGTTTCTGAGTACGGGGGGTAGATTATAAAAAGGGAAGGTGTTAGCACCCTTTCTATCTGTGGTTTTCCACGGGCTCTTAGGTACTTGCTCATTCTTAAAATTTCTTGTGTGTGTTTTGCAAAAAGTTTTGTTTACTTCGTGATAACCCTTGTATCGGTCCTCAAGAGTGTGACAAAGTTGTTTTTTAAAAAGAAAATTGTTTTTGAAAAATGTTTGTGCGAAATTTGTTTGTTTGAGAAAGTACTTAAGAGTTTCCACCTACTCGAAAAAAGTATGTTCGTTTTTGTTTCCTTTAGACAGTGTTATCCTTCTATTAAGGAGTAGGTAGCTCAATCGTTGGATTTTTAAGGGACAATCGAAAGGGACAAAATGGTCTCTGAAGGCAACAAGTAAAGATACCTTAGCATTTTGTAGGGACTGTCATCATAAGATCATTTCTCGTAGGCAACTCGAGGGACAAGGAGGGACTATGATCTTTATGACGACTTTGAACCGTTGGTCTTTGCTAAGATATCCCTACATTCGAGAGACATGACCATTATTTCTGAGGAAACCAAGTGGGGCAAACCCTAGGAGTGAGCATGTGCAAGTGTGCTTTTCAATTAATTATCTTGGCACAATTAGGGTTATCTAACTTTTTAATTCTTGGTTTATCTTTCGCATACAATCCTAATGTCCATACATCTAGCAGTTTAATAGTTGCGGAAATTAAAGGTGCGAAAAAAAAAACTATTACAAGTCTTTTGGGCAGATACACAAATATTTGACTGAAAATAAAGATACGGGAATTCGAAATCCAAATTAATCTATTACAAACCCAAAACAGATACAATAATTTGAAATAAATAAATAAAACGCGTGCGAAGAATTAAGACGGGAATGATGAAAAGATATTTTTGGATTTTCTTGGGAAAAGTGATTAATCTTGCAAATTAACCTAATTTCTATTTAATTTTAATTATAAAAAAAATATTTAAGTTAACCTAACTTTCTATTAAATTTTAATTACAAAAAAAAAGTATTTAAGTGAACCTAATTAACTAATTAATTAATGCAAATCAATATTTTATATAAAAAAAACTAAACCTAATATTTTTTGTAATTTTCTGATTTTCTGATTTAATAAAGAAATGATTTTTGTGAAAATAATTAAAATAACAAATTAAAAAAAACAAATAAAGAAAATAAAAAGAAAAAGAAAATGGGCCTGATGTAGTTAGCACTCCAGGGGGTGTGTGCTGAATTGCTGAAGCCTAGAAGGATAGGCCCAATTGCCCTGCACATGATTCCGTGGGGGCTCCTTCTGAGGGTTCACCACGGACTTCGCCAGTGTGGGACCTTGGATCTGGCTGGAGATAGATCCCAAGGGTGAGATCTGAGGGCGCATGATGATCCTCTGAAGGTGAGTTTCACTGAATCTAGAATTAGAAACTAAGAAAAATAACAAATGTTGGAGGCAGGGGTCGAACCCCTGACCTCTCGTATGCAACGTCTTATCTACCTTCCTGCACACCACTGAGCCATTTGGACTTTTGTTAACATAAATCAACAAAATATAATATAATACAAAAACGCATTATGCCCAGAACAAAGCGCACTATCATTCAAATGGTCCAACAGGACGTTGCCATGCAGTCTTTTTCTTCCCCAGTATTGTTGTTTTAGACTTAGACCTTTACCTACGGTTTCATGTCTGTAACTACAACCCCGCATCATTCAAAAATCTAGCACAATAAATATAAATTAAAATGAAAACCATGAATCAACTGGGCTTGAAGCCCTGAACATCATGGTACCTGTTGTACCCCAAAATTTGCCCTCCCATTTCCTCAACATTTTCTCATCACAAGACCCTTGGAGCTCAAGATCCAGTTAGGGTTTCCTCTGCTCAAGACTTCTACTTGCACTGTTGACCCAAATTAGGGTTTGTGTTTGCACCAAGATATTTTGACCTAAAATGCCTAAGATGACTTTCATGCTTCATGTTGGACTCCCAAGTTTATCCATATCAAGTTTCAAGTCTTGATTCCAAACTTTGCCCAGTCAATTGGACAGTTGACCTAGAAATCAGCTGTATTGGGGAAAAAGTCAACTGTGGCCAATTGACAGTCAAACCTCATGAAAATTGACCCACATCAACATTATGAACTCACATGGACCATTTGATCAAGTTTGGATCACAATTCCACAAGAAATTTGATCAGATCACCAAAAGGGCAAAATGGTCATTATTAGGGTTTTGACTGCACAAAGGTAATTTTTGACGGTTTGACCTAGCCAATGGCAAACAAAACTCAAATATGGACTCAAGGACCCCATGGAATTGTCTTGACATACTCAACAAGTTCAAAAGATCCCAAATGCACAAGATTGACAGTTGAATTTCCCAGTCAATTGATCAATTTTGACTGTATACTGAAAAGTCAAACTTTGACTTTTTGGTCAAAATCAAGTGTCAAGATTCATTTTTCATCAAAACATTCCAAATCATGAAACTTTTTCATCAAGAAATCAAGAATTGCAAATTAGGGTTTGAAATGAAGATTTTTCATAACTTAGAATTTTTCTAAGTTATGAAAAACCCTAATTTTTTCCTAACTTTGTCCCACTTTCTCACCAAGATTCATTTGAATTCAAGCAAAAGTCAAAACATGAAAGTTGTAGCCTATTGCAAAATATACAACTTTGATTCACAAAGTTTCCTCAAAAGAAGCTTGTAGCTCAAGTTACAATTTTTGGAACAACGGTATCAAACCATTCTTAACTTAGAGAAATTTTAAACCATTTTAGGCAGGATTTTTGCCTAACTTCAAGACCATTTTTCACATGCTTCCACTTGGAATTTCAATTTGCATTTC